ACAAAGTTCATCAGGGAGTTAGGGCTCTACTTCTCAGGTTGCATTACAATACACTGGAACAAGGTCTGACATATGTATGATTCTATATCTTTAAAAACTAGAACACATAGGTCTGAAAATTAAGGGATTAAAGTAGACTACTCTCGTCACGTTGTTCACTTTTTGTAATTCATTTGAGAAATTTTTGTTTCACATTCCCATTACCTTAGGCATAAAATGATTGATCTAGTGTCTTAAGTATTTTACCAAAGGTTTTTTTTTTTTTTTTTAATCAAATGACAGTTAGAGTCCCACTGACATTGACCAATTTCCTTCTTATCTAGCAGACAAGTAGACAAACAATGAAATGTCTTTAACAGCAGAAATAGTAAATCCTAATAACCACTAGGAACTTGGGTTGCTGCTACAGAATGGGGACAGAGAAATATATGTCTGAAACCCAGTGATATTCTTGATATGTTTTTGAATTTTTAGATCTGTGATAGTTGTCACCAGATAATTGCCATAACCATAGACCAATAAGGGCAAAGCGACTATGGGCTCAGATTCATCAGAAGTGAGATTCAACATCACTCCACCAGATATCCAAAGCAAAGCTATTGAAATGTTGTCTGAGGATGAGGGTATTATAGTTTTGATGTTGGATGATAACTACCAACTATGGCCTGGTTATCAGTTGTGGCAATGAAGGATATAGGTTATATCATTAACTTTCTGACTATAAGTATTTAAAAGCTGAACCTGGTACCATTTTGAATTCTTTGTTCATTTTGTGTACCACTGGGTTTGAACCTTCCCTCCTTAGTTTCTCACAAAATATAGGACCTTCATATAGAAACTGAATACAATGGAAAGCATGATAATCAGAGATCCAATGTATGAACTGTATCAAATACTTATTTAACATACTTTCAGATCTTCTATTACTCATTTGTTCCTCCTTCCAGTTGTCACTACAGTGAACAGATCTGTCTGGGCTCTGATTAACCAACTTACTGTTACCCAATGCAGGCAATTCTGCTTAAACTTCTTATCTTTTGGCTCCAAGTTCAAGTTTCCTTGATGATGATCCATTGGGGAACTTGGTTTCCAAATCTGAGTAACTGGGAATTACAGTGAATTAAATCTTAGAGGGGCAAGACTGAGGATAATGGGAGGTGGAATCTGATAAATACACATCAGAAAGAGTCCTTAGACAAATTTTATGTAGCTATTTAGGAAAATGCTAAAGATCAAACAACCAGTTATACTTCAGGAGAGCTGTCTTTGAATTGTCTTCTTGTATTGTTGCTCTGTCCTTCCTTACTTTATTATGGTACAACTGTTGTTCTTCAGTATTGTTCTTTGAAGTGATACTCTTTAATAAAGAAAAAGCTCTCTGACCTAGGCTCTATTTTCTGAGGAACTCATGGTTGTAAAGACAATAATAGAGATTTCATTATAAAGATAATATAAAAAATAGGTCTTTGCTGTGTGAAAAGAGAGTCAAAATCAACCACTGTAAATTTCATGTAAAGAATAAGAATGCTTTGTACAGAGGAGATTAAGCATTTTGATAGTACATTGTATAACCAAAGTATAGATAGGGAAGTTTACATTCATATATCAAAGGTGGGAAAAAGTTGACAAAGCCACTGCATTAGGAGGCTATTTCTGTTATAATGCTACCTAATAAATAACCCCACTCCACCACAAATCCAAATCTTAGTGGTTGACAGTAACCAATATTTATTTTATGTTCATCGGCTTTTGTATGCATGTCAGCTGTGGTTTGACTAAAGCTGACCAACTTTGATAGAGGCTTGAATGGGCCAGGATGAACAATAGGTTTTAAGTCAGTTTCTGGTCAGTTCCATGCGACTTCATTCTAGGGCTCTGGCTAAAGGATAGTAGCTTCCTGGGGTATGTTTCTCTTGTGGGAGATCAAAAAAGCGCAAAGTAATCATGATATGATTTTTGAGACTTCAGCTCAGGAATGGCACACTGTAACTCCTAATTATGTCCTATTAGTGAGTCACATAGTCAAGACCAATGTCAGTGGGGTGGGGAAGCATGTGCAAGCACAAAGCTTGGGAAAAGGAATAAATAGTTGCTGAATAATAATCCTATCTACTATGACTTCTATGATATATGACTTAGCAATATCTATTAATGATGTAGAGCTCAAAATTTCATGTCTAGGATTTTAACCTACTAGCATATGGCAATATTTTCCTCCAATAGAGAGTTTGTATAGTGAATCAAGTTACATCAATACCATAAGAACTATAAGCCCTTTAAAAACAACGAGGCAATATCATACTACACTTGTGGAAGGATTACCAAGTTATATTGTTCAGTGTAAGCCTAAGGTACAGAAAAGTATATATAGTTCCTATAATTGTAGAAAAAGTATAAACATGCCTGAATATATATATATATATATATATATATATATATATATATATATATATATATACACACACACACACACACACACATATGTATATATATATACACACACACACATACATACATTCTCTGGAAAGAGTTATTAGAATCTGACAGCAATAGTTACTCTGGTGAGCAAAAATGAATGGCTACAGAGAGAAACAGAAGAAATACTTTATTTTCTCTGTATACTGTAGTTGTTGAATTTTTCTTGTCACAAACCATGTTTATATTCACTTATGCAAAATAAAGGAGCAGTATATGTGTTAGAAATATAGAATTCTTCTAATTTACCATTGGTCTGTAATTGTTGATAGTCCAAGTTTTTTTTTGAGTATTTGAACATTTATGTCCCTTTCTCTCCCTTATGTGAAGCTGTGGACACTTTAGAAAAATGCAGCTCCATGGGTAAATATTGCTCCCAGGTAATCTGGTTCTGCCTCAAAACTTGCTTCATCTCACTGTTCCTTCCTGCATTTGCACTTCTTCTACTTCTCAGTTTGCTCCTCTTTGACCCTCTCTTATAAGCGGATATTGTACCTTGGGCTAAGCCTACTTGCTATTCCTTTTCATAAATATTTCACAACTATAGAAGGTATTTAATTCTTAATAGATTTTGGCTATTCCATCACTCTTGAGTTCCAAAGATCTCACCTGAGTTCAGATTCATATCTTCTGATTCTTTTCTTTAACTTTCAACCTTTATCTTGAAATATCCACAGATCCCAAACCCGGAATGAACCACACGAGACACTGGCTGCAAAAAGCAGGAGGCGTTTATTCTCACACAGGCGCCTGCGGGTGCACAGCAAAACCTCAGCCGGAGCTTCGGTGAACTGGCACACCGGGCTTTGGGGTATAGATCTTTTATAGGGAACAGGTGGGTTAGGTCTTAGCTTAGCACAGCAACAGCCTTCCTATTGGTCCCTCTGAATTCAGCAGTTGAGTCACCTAGGGGGGTAAACTTGTTTTCCCACTTTAGTTCTCAGAAAAACCATAAAATTGCATCCTGTCCTTTTAGTTCCTGTTTTTACCCTGTTTGCTCAAGTTTGGCCCTTCCGGGGTTATCTATATGGAACATCTTGTGGTAACATTGTGCGAGACTTGAAGTGCTACGTGCAGCTGGTGGGGTTTTGACATGGGGGTTGGGTAAGGGAACATCTTGCAGCTTCAGGGCACAGGGGTTAGTTTTCCTAATGTTGGGCCTGGGGCCTTGGGGTCCTTCATTCCCCCCTTTTTTTATATCATGGATATAATCTTATATCCATTGACCCATCTGCTCGGATTCCAGCATTATTTCAGCTGACGGCTCAGCATACTGGTTGGGGGTTGGTATTTACTATTAATCTAATTTTGAATAGGACCCCAGGGTCATAGGCAGTTTTATGATATATTTTCAGGCCCCATTGTTTTTCTTTTATCCAATCTTTTGATGCTTTGCCTGCCTGAGTAAAGGTAATGTTTAAGGGGTTGCAGGCAAATGCGGTACATGGCCCTGCCCCGTACCATTTCAGGCTCCTGCAAGAGTCGGCAGAAAGTGGGGGATCCTGTTTTGTTTTGTTTTTTTTTTATTTGAATTAAATCCTAAGATGAGCTTGGCTTCTACTATGCATCCCCCGTAGTTTTATATCCCCAAGACTTACAATAGTAACTTTCATGTTGCCCACATTTTTGTGCCTGCGACTTAGTTTTCAGGCCCTAGGGTAGGCCATCAAGCCCAAAGGGGGTATTTTGCGGATGTTGTTTTTTTTTTTTTTTTTTTTTTAATTATATTTCTTGTCCCCGATAATACTTGTCATGTCTGGCTCACAGATTGGTTGGGGTTAACTGATATGGGGAAGACACAGCACAAAGCAAGAAAAATCAACAGCGAGTGAGTCTTATTTTTAGCGGATTTTGGGTACGTTGCAACTTCCATTCTGGATCCGGAGAGGTGTCTGCGGACTCCTGTGGATGTGCAGTCTTCACGTGGGAAGCATGGATCTAAGCAGCGATGCCGTCCACTTTGAGTGAAGTAGGAGTGGTCAGCAGGATAGTGTAGGGTCCTTTCCACTGCGGTTCGAGGTTCCTGCTCTGGTGCCTGCGTACCCAGACGGTATCTCCGACCTTGAAGGGATGTGGCAGCAAGGGGGTTTTAAGTTCCTCTTTGTATGCTGCGGCTAGAGGCTTCCAGACCTCGTTCTGGACCAATTGCAAAGCATGCAAATGAGTCTGCATAGATGGGGTGAGGGAGGCATAGGTTTTAGTTTTATAAAAGTTAATAGCGGGAGGTGGGGCACCGTACAGGATTTTAAATGGGGTTAGTCCATGTGGGCCTGGGGTGTTTTGGGCCCCATACAAGGCTAAAGATAGGAGTTGTACCCAGTCTCTAGTGCCAGTTTCAAGTGTCAATTTAGTTAAAGTCTCCTTAATGGTTCTATTTATCTTTTTTACCTGTCCTGAACTTTGGGGTTTATAACCATAATGTAATTTTTAATTAATCTCCAATGTATTGGCTACCGCCTGACTTACCTGGGAGACGAAGGCAGGCCCATTAAATGTTTCCTTTTTGGTCCTCATTATCAGGATCAAAGGGAGTAAACCTCCGATAAGCCTCTTTTAATTTTTCTAAGAAGGCTGTCGGAGTTTCCTCTGACCCCTGGATAGTCTGTCTTACCTGAGCCAAATTGGTGGGCCGTCGCCCTGCTCCATGGAGACCCCCCTGCTCCATGGAGACCCGCTATGAGTAACTGGCGATAGAGATGTAGGTGGTTCTCACCTGCTTCAGTCGCATAGTCCCAGTTTGGCCGGGTTAAAGGAAAAGCTTCGTTAATCAAATTTGTGAGTTGGGTGGGGCGCCCATCGTCCCCTGGCACATTTTTGTGAGCTTCCAAAAGAACCTTTTGTTTCTCCTCTGTGTCTAATAGAGAAATCTTTAATTCTGCTACTTAGGGCTGGATAACCATATTAGCAAACATCAAGTCTACCTGTGTTGTCTAGAAATAAAAGCCTTAGACTAAAACTATTCTAGTAGTTCCTTTGACAGTTATCAGGCATTTCTGTCTAAGAATCTCTCTTGTAGCCTCCAGTCTATTTATTTATGGAAGTTACATTTAATTATTATTATTATTTAAGATGTCCAGGAACAGCTGTGCTTTGGCTTTGACTGTCTTTGCTAAGTGTTTAAGATGAAGCAAGTCAAACTGACTTTTGTTTCTACCTATTGTTTACAGTCAGCTGAGTTATCCTGGGAGTCCTCGGGAACTTCATAGCAGCTTTTCAGTTCTGCTAGTGCCATTTGCGCTAGGATGGGTCCAGGCCTTGTTTGACCATATGGCTTCCCTCAGAAGCATCAGGGATGTCTCCCTTTTTTAATGACCCTCCTCTTTACAGCAAATGCACCATTTGGCTTTCTGTCCTCCACTGGTCTCATTAATCTCCCTGCTCAGGAGGTTATGTGGCCTAGAGTTGCTGAGCCCTTTGGAGAAGTCCCCTATTTCCTGATTCAGACTGACTCAGAGGGCAAGAGCCAAATATTGGTTTTCTTGGCCCTTTTAATTTAACTAATTTTAAAAACTTGATCTTAAACATCCAGCAAATAAGTTAACAGCCTTATATTAAGAGCACTGGGCTTTAATGTCTATCTCTCTATCCTGTAGGTGATAACTCTTTATCTTATGTTGACCCAGGTTGTGTTCTTAAAGCAATACCTCTTTAGAATATTAATAGGCAATCCTTAAACCATCTATAAGCAAACTACAAAACAAAACTAACTAGGGTAAAAACATATTTAGCTTATATAATAGCTACCTTGAATTCTGGCAGGGTTATACATCATAATTTCCTGTTTGAGATCCTAGTAATCTTGGCAAAAACCTACTTTTGGACACAACTTTAACTGTACTGAAATCTGGCTTACTTTTTTTCATAGCCATTTTCACATGTAGTGAGATGGGACAGAGCCTTATCTCAAGTAAGGCAGGGCTCTTTATAAATCTCAAGTACTATAGTTCTGAAGCTGATCATTTTACAAAGTTTACATAAATTGTTGTTCAAGTTTACATGAACATTAGCTAACACAACATAATATCACACCTAAAATATGAATTAAAGGCTGAAAGCTTTTAACCTCTTGTAGAAAAGTAGTAATGTACTTTTGTGTTTTGCAATAAAACCTTCACACAGATTAGGCTCTTATTAACTTAAAAATACATAAATTGTATCTTAGAGTAGAAAGTAACATGGAACTGTACATATCTTATTGATAACAAGTTCAGTTATAGAACACAAATGATATAATTGAATTTCCAACATTTTTTTTAAGCCTAAAATTACCATACAACTTTAGAACACCAGCTTGATATAATGTTCTTTTGAAGCTTCTACCTTACAGACTTGTATACCTGGAAGATATGAACACATTAATAACACCATAATTACATAAACCTCTTTTTGTTCACATTTTGAAACAATACTTGTAAACTTTTAAATTTAAGCAGAGTTAACATTTTATTAGGGCCTTTTTGAACACCTAGAGAAACTTATAAGCTTAATTTTGAGGACATCTTTACTTTTATCTGTTTACCCAATCTAAATTGAACCGTTTGAATCACGTGAATTAAAGATATTTGGATCTATTTTTAATTTTTTTTTTCAGGCTACCCAGTTCAAAATTGAAACTTTTAAAATTTTTTATCCCAAGTATTTAAGTTTTCTAGCATGAACTATCTGAAATCAAACTAAACAATTGCTTAAACCCAACTTTTAACTGCAAGATAGTGTAATGTTTTAGAAACCCATTCAGATACCAGATTGTTACAATAAAAAATTATTATTATTTATTTTTTAGACACATATTTAACCTAGATTATCCCTAAGAAACAATTAGACAACCAGATAAGAAAATATCTCTCCAGGTTTTGAACTTTCATTTAATTATGACTCCCATCAGTGGCACCATAGATTTTTCTATGAGTGGACCAGATGTTTTCACGTAGGGGCAACTATAGGTGTAAAATCAAGGGTCTCAGTGTGACTGGCTTTACTGCAGTCAGTGTCCCTTCTTTTTAAGTAAACAGAGGTTAAGTAAACAGATCCTTAAGATGTAGATAAGGACCCAGGGAACTCCCCAGAGCTAAATGGCTCTGGCAGCTGCTGGGAGTCCCTTAATCCTATCTTTCACCCACAGGATCAGTTCCTCTAGTTTAGGTATTTTTTTTTAACTTGTTAGTAGCCAGCTCCCAAAAAGTCCATCCTCTGCTTGCAGTTGTTTCGAGTGCTAGGCTTCCCCAAGAAAGCAGAGTGGGAACTCCTTAAAAGTCCCCTTGAGAGTGTCAAAATTTGTGACTGAAAATTTGGTTCCCATCTCTAAAGCTAATTAACATTAATTTAATAATGAGGACAGGACTTTGAGAAAAGTCAAAGCGAGATGTCAAAGTTGTTAAATCCCCAGCAGGCATCTCTATTTGCACTCAAGCCGGTTATGGGGGGGGAGAAAACATTGCTTCCCTAGTCTCAGTATTCAGCCTTAGATAGAATTTATCATCCGCCTTGGGCTGCATTTCCAAGCAGCCCGACTCCAGGAAGACCCGTTCGCTTCCTGGGGTGGAGGGGCCGGGAGGAACAGGGACAGGACAGATCCGCCATACCGCCGGGTGGAATCCTCCCGGCGGACTGCGTGGATCCCACCCATGCAGGAGGGGATTCGCAGAGGTCCTGAAAGGTTAAAAGCCATGATCTGGATGGCCATGCAGCCCCGGCTGAAAGACAATCTCTGACTTTGCAAATTAGAGAGAGAGATGGAGGGACTCTCCTGGGGGCCATTTAACTTCGAGGGTGGGCCAATATTGGCCACTCCGTGGTACAGAGTGTTACCCATTTTTTCTTTTTGACTGCCACGGACAGGTTGTCTGCCCGATCTTGAACGTCTTGCCAATGATCTAGAGTTAGGCTCAAAGGGGTTGTTAGTGATTGTCCCATGTTACTCTCAGAGAGGAAATAGAGAGACAGACACAATGACACAAAAACGAAACCAAACAGTGAGATCGCTGCGCGGCTTCGGTGGAAACTGAACAAATCAGATGGCCTGGGAGAAGTTTGTACTTCTTTGTCGCCTACAAAAATGGTGTAACCCTCGGAAACACCGGGGGCCCCAAAGAAATGGACCCTTCTGATCCCTGGGACGTCTCCCAGGGTGGCAGGGGAGAAGTCCGAGTTCGTCAACTCCTTCTCAAGCTGCCTCAGAATACTAAATGACAGAACTGCCTCAGAATACTCAGAATACTAAATGACTATGCCTAGGATCATATAGTCTTACAGACGCTGCGTGGAACAAAGAACAGATAACCAACAGGACAACAAGACAGTCAGTTTGAGCTGGCCAGCTTACCTCCCAGTGATGTCGGGTGTCCTCCGGATAGGGACCGGGATCGGAACCGGAACCGGGATCTTGGATCTCGGTGGGACCTCCACAATGAAATATCCACAGATCCCAAACCCGGAATGAACCACACGAGACACTGGCTGCAAAAAGCAGGAGGCGTTTATTCTCACACAGGCGCCTGCGGGTGCACAGCAAAACCTCAGCCGGAGCTTCGGTGAACTGGCACACCGGGCTTTGGGGTATAGATCTTTTATAGGGAACAGGTGGGTTAGGTCTTAGCTTAGCACAGCAACAGCCTTCCTATTGGTCCCTCTGAATTCAGCAGTTGAGTCACCTAGGGGGGTAAACTTGTTTTCCCACTTTAGTTCTCAGAAAAACCATAAAATTGCATCCTGTCCTTTTAGTTCCTGTTTTTACCCTGTTTGCTCAAGTTTGGCCCTTCCGGGGTTATCTATATGGAACATCTTGTGGTAACATTGTGCGAGACTTGAAGTGCTACGTGCAGCTGGTGGGGTTTTGACATGGGGGTTGGGTAAGGGAACATCTTGCAGCTTCAGGGCACAGGGGTTAGTTTTCCTAATGTTGGGCCTGGGGCCTTGGGGTCCTTCAATCTACCACCCTTTCTCAATTTATGGCAGAGATCCCAAACTATTCGACCACTCCAGCCTCTGCCAATTATCTAGTTCCATCCTTAGACTTTTTCTCTGGTCCCTGCTGTGACTCCTCTCTGGATACCGCTCCATCTAGGGCCAAGAGTGGGCCTACTTGGAGTCCATACTTCTTCCCCACCTGGACCGTCTTTTGGGTGTTGACAACTCCAGAATTCTATCAAAGACACTGAACCAGGGCCCCAGGACTGTTTCTTTCCATAGCACTGTGGAAATCCAAACAATCAGTTCAAACTGAGCCTACCAGGTTGTTATTTGTCAAGGTAGGATAAGACATATATAATGGTTTCTTTAGCTTGTTTTTTAAATTTTTTTTTTCCACATGGGCCTCTATTTGTAGTCTTCCCTAGATCCTAGAGTCTTTTGGCAAGGGCTGGTCAGAGCCTCTCTCTAAAAAGAGCCCTGAGTGGGTGAAGAGCTCAGTAAGTAGTTGCTAGAATGCAAATATGTTTCCCAAGCCTTTATCTTCCAGTTTATAAAAAGGGAAAAGCCTTTTTTGATCTCAAGTATAGTTAACACCATAAGAAACAGATTATATAGGGAAGGAGAGGAGCTGGAGCTGGAGCAATGAAAGTTTTCCTCAGGTAATAGGATAAAACATATGAATGTATTTATGGAGAAACTCTGATTCCCCCAAACTCGGTTTGGTTTTAGTAGATACTACACAAATAAGCTGTGTTGAAACTTTATTCACAACTATAAAATAATCCAACAAAGTATCTGCTTATATCATAGTAGAGGCAGGAGATGATATATCCAAAGTGATTTATGGGCTGTTGTATCATCTCACTCCACTAGATACTATGATATTCCCCTTATGCTCCATTCTCATTTACAAGATTCAAAAGGAATCTTTCCAGTGGATCTCTCTCTCTCTCTCTCTCTCTCTCTCTCTCTCTCTCTCTCTCTCTCTCTCTCTCTCTTTTTCGTCCCAAATATTGAACTCAGGGGTACTTAACCACTGAGCCACATCCCCAACCCTTTTTGCTATTTTATTTACAGATAGGGTCTCTCTGAGTTGTTTAGGGTCTTGCTAAGTTGCTGAGGCTGGTTTTGAGCTAGCAATCTTTCTACCTCAGCCTCCCAAGCCACTGGGATTACAGGCATGCACCATCGTGCCCAGCTGCTATCTTTAGTTATATACTTAAAACACAAGAAGTGAACATCTGCTCTAGGGAGTATTTTTTCAGTTTCCCTTGAAATGCAGAGCAAATATCTGGGGAAAAATTAACACACACAAGTAAAACAAACAGAAAACCCCAAACAAATACAAGTGTTAAGACCATTTGCCTTATGGAGGCAAAAGAATAGATAATATATCCATTTCTGTTTTGGGATTTAACTGAAGTCCCTTAGCAAGAAAAGACAGAAGTCACCAAAAGAAAACCTGTGATTGAAGCTATAGCCTTCCCAAACCTGGCAAGCCAATAACAAGAAGAATCCCTAAGGAAAAAAGACTAAACCTGAATGTGTAATGTAACAATCTATGAGTGTTGGTAAACTTGGCATTAAACCTCCAGTCAAGTATATTGCAGAAGAAGAGTCATTGTTTTTTAAAACATCAGGGGCTGTGAAAATGATCACTAAGTCACATTTACTTGCAAGAACAGTAGAAACAGGCATAAATACTTTTTCTATGCAAAATAATTTTTTTAAAGGAAATGTGGTGGCACCAAGGGGTAATGATGGGATGTGAGTTAAATCTTTAACATACATTCAGTAATATGAAAGTATCATTTGCTATTTGGGGCTTGTAGCAGTTAATTGATTAACTTACCTCATTTCTTCTATCTTCCATCCATTGACCCTTGTAATTAAATTTAGAACATCTCAGATTTTTTCTCCTATTATTAGTATGTAGAGTCCTATATGTTTCATAAAGTTATAAAGTGAATATAGGATGATTATTATCTCAATGCCTTCTCTTCCCAAGAAATATCTCAGACCTTAAACTCTCATGTTATAATGTAATATAATATAATGTCTTATTTAAGTAAAAACATGGTGTAATAAAATATATGTAATTCAATATAATTTTTAATATAATTAAACTCTCATAATTTCTAATTCCCATAGTCTGTAATTCATTTTTGTTAAATCTTTGAGAACTTTTATTCAATGCAAGTGTTATTTTAAACATTGAATAAAGATAAGTTGATACAATAAATGACTGTTACACAGAGAAAGATAGAGCAGAATTCTAATACAATATATTGCTTGCCAAAAATACCAAATTAAATTTATTTCAAGTAGGAAAGCAGAAAAAGTTTTTGAAAATACCATATTGAACAGATTACAAACTGAACATGAAGAAATTAGGTATGAGAAATTAGGTATGAGAAATAACTCCTACTATAAATTTTCTCTTTCTGTTTTGGTCTATAGTTTCTGTGGTAATGCAGCAATACTCAAAAGAGTATTATGGAGTAAATATACTGACAGTAAAAACAAAGTCTTTAGTCAAAAATGGGTTCATGGTTTAAGTGCCTAGGAAATGACTGTAAAGTGGTCCAGTGATAGTGGGAGAGCAAGGTGAACAGGAACAATGAGAAGACGGTACAATTCAGAAAGACAATGGCTAGTGCACCCTTTCTTCCCTGACATCTTTGCCCAGTTGATGATCACAAAGCAACTTTGTTTACTCAGATGTCAGGAGAAGAACATTTTCAAATCCTGTGTCTACTTAATTGCTGGATTATGGGGTTCATCATCTAAACTGTTTAGATTTTAGTCAAACTAGTAGCCAGAGTTTAAAGGAGGTAATTGACTTAAAAGAAGGAACAGCTGATTTCACTAAACCTATCTTTATCTGATAGGATTGGCTATCTAAACAGAGTCTGAGAGTTCAAATCTCTGAGACAAGAGGATGCTACTGATACAAGCACATAGTGAAAGTATATCTTGGCAACTTTCACAATCTGGTAACATTTTACAATCATCCTTAAAGTTGTTTTTTTTTTTTTTTTTTTTTTTTTTTTTTTTTTTAATACTGGTGATTGCCTAGAGCAATTAAGGGCAAATCTTTGGGAATAAGCCTGAGAGACCCTGAGATTAAAACAAACAAAATCTCCCCAGGTGATTTTTTAATTAAAAAGCAGACTTACAGAGCATTATTGCCTACATCCTTTCTTAGCATATCTGTTATCTTCCCTGGGACAGTGAGATTGTTTAAATGTATTTTTCCCTGAGATCTGTTGGAATCATTTCCAGGTGTGATGGATTGCATTATTTTGTCACAACTCTGCTTCTTCCTCCCTCCTTCCCCTTGCTACAACTTCCTGGTTGGTGCACTATACTTTTCCATTCTATAGATTTCAGGCTCACTGTGTGACTTTAATGGAATGTGAAAATGATGAATTGTGCTAGTTTTGATCTAAAGCCTTTAGAGGCATGGCAAGCGTGCACCAAGACTTCTCCATGAGAAGAATTGCCCCAGGTAGACATTAATCTTTTAGGAATGAAGCTATGTGGAGGTAAAAAAAAAATAACCAAAATCTTGGATCCAGTCTGGTTCAGCTAAAACAATATGAGTCTGGCCAATATCAGCAAGCCCACCTGTAATATTATGAATCTAAAATAAATTGCATTTGTTTAATCTTCTGAGATTTTATAAGTTTGTTTCCAATTCAGCATTATTTTTGGGGGGTGGGGTAAACCCAGACAATTAATATATAAAATCTATTAAATAAGCTGTGGATCAAGCAATATGTAGCATAGAGCAGGTGCTACATAAGTATTTGTTAGGTTAATTTGCTTATATGTAGAACTCCTTTAAATTGTATGATATTAAGAAATTGGGGAACAGGGAAGATGGCGGCGAGGGGAGTGCATTACCCCCGTGTGCTGCTTCACTGTGTGGGAGTATGACAAGTCAGGACGGCTAAAGGATATCTTGTTAGGAATTTCCAGCAATAGTGGGGTGCGCCGGAACCTGGAGGAAGGATTTCCATCGCATGAGGATCGGCTACGGGGACTCAAACGCGAGAGGTTTGTCGCACGGAGGGTAATACTGCTTATTCAGCAAATCGCCCCGCGGCTAGAGTCTGCAAGGCGCGCTGGGATAGAGACGCAGGGTTACAGCGCTGCAGTTTCTGCCAGACGCGCAAGCACCGCACTCAGGGCTGAATTCTGGGTTCGAGACGGGGGAAGGAAGCGGTCCATCTCGGTTCTCCACACCGGTCAGACCACAGAGGAGGCCAGCAGCCACCATGTTGGTAAACTGACGTCACCACACCTGTTTTTGACTGACCGCAGCTCATTCAGCCATAGAACAGGTAATTTCAGGCTGCAATTCGCCTGCGGCTTGCAGACAGATTGCTAGGGTTCAGCGCCTGGGGGCTTCTTAAAATCTGATCTTATCGGAGTGAACACGGAGCGCGGGGCGGCCAAGTCCCGGCTCCCGGAACCGTCCCGGAACCGCCCTGGCTCCGGGCTGCGGAGCCTGCGGAGGCTGCTTCTTGGACCCTGCTAATATCAGAGCATACACCAAACACTAAGCGGCCGAATTCCGGCTCCCGGAACTGAGCCCGCGGGGGCTGCTTCTTGGAGCCTACACTTATAGGAGCTTACACCGAGCACGGAGCAGCCGAGTTCTGGCTCCCGGAACTTCCCTGGACCGGGGCTAGGAGCCCGCGGAAACTGTGTCTCGGTCCGGGTCCTGCTGAGGGCAGGTCAGGACTCACCCATTGCTTGGGTTGCCTGGCAAGGGGAACGAAATGCTGCCATTCGCATAGGATACCAACATGGCAGAGATCTGATGTCAGCAGAAAGCGGTGGAGGAGAGATCTTCATCAATACCAGCGGTGACATAAGCAGTTGGTCTTCTGGTAAGGGGGGTGAGGCTCAGTCACCCGAGTCTCCTCAATTTGTCCTCGAGCCGGAGGGAAGGAGCCGGGCCGCCGCCAGCCCCCGGAGCAGGCCCAGCGGCTCGCCAGCGTG